TCTAATAACATTTTTTTGTTTTTCTCCGAGGTCAATAAGTTGAATGAACATTGATTATTTATTTTCAATGAAAGAACATTGCCTCCCAGAGTCTCCTCAGTAAAAGTTGTATTAAAGGATATTGTTTTGTGAATTACTTCACATCTCTTTGTTTTTTGTTTGTTTGAATAATATAAATAAGTAATGGGTGGCAGAAAGATGTGTATATACAGCTCATAGTTAATAATTGTTTTAATTGAAGATGACATTCAAATTTATTTTCTTGAATATTTGTTTCTCTTCCTTATTAAGTTATTGTAATAAAATATTACATAATTGATATACTCTGGGTATTTTCTTCTGGTATTTGTGTTTTGATTACTTAGATAACAAAGAAAAACTATTCATCACACATTAAATTATTATTCTTATGGCAGGTACAAAAACAACACTTACAGAGCAAGTGTAGCAGTAGTAACTTCAGCTGACCAAGTTCCTGCATTTTGTAAGTCAGTTTGCACAAGACTACAAGTTTGCCCATTTATGTTTGGACCTGTTTCTATTGGTGAAAATAATTGTCCAGAAAATTGCAATACTCTATCCAAAACTCGATTCAGTAAGTAAATGTATATTTCATGTACCTTTTTGATAAAGGTCAATTCCTCTTAAAATTTTGGATTTTATTTCTCTCATTGTGTTTTCAGCACAATATTGGGTACAGGGGAAAAGAAAAATTGGTCGTCCCAAAGGTGAGGCAAGTAATATAGTTCCACGTCCAAAGAAAAAAAGAGGTCGTAAACGTTTGTTTCAAACTGCCAAACAAGACAATAAAAACAACAAAGATTCAGAAAATACCGAAAAACAAATGTCAGAAGTTTCCAAGAATAATCAAGGAGGTAAGACAGAATATCCCATTTAGTACAATATTTTCTATGAATGTGAAGACTGAATTGAATAGAAATTATTTCCATTTTAAGTGACCTATTTCATTCTTTTGCTGAATCACTTAATTTAAAATTGAGGATTTCCTTTATTTTCTAAATTTGCATAAGACCGCAAGCTCTTTTCATGTTTCAAAAGAAACTACCCCAGGGTTTTTCATTGAACAGGAGTGAATTTCTATTCCTATTCAATGTTAAACGAATAGTTCTAGTTTTACGGTCTGGCATCTGCTTCATAAAAAGTTATACTGAGAGAAAAGACCCTGATATTGGAAAAGTAGATTTTTGTTACTCCTATAAATAATAAATTACTTTCTCGATTATGTAGTGTCATCAGAATCCACAGGTTTTGGGTCCTTGATACTAAGAAAGTAGTTTGTCCTCAAATGTGTCTCTGTCTGTCTGTGAACAACACTAGCCACAGTTCATACTTTTTCATGAAAAACTGATATTTCACTAATCAATCTGGATGATCACGCTCCTCAAATTTGAAATGGGTATTGAAATTTTTAGGATTACTTAACATAAAGTCCCTACATTCTCAACATTTTCTTAAAATGATTCTATTTTTTTCAGAAAAGTATGTTTATAAACTGGGTAAATATTTATTAAAACCTCTGAAATTTTGGAAACTGCAAATTCATCTTATAGTACATTACTAATGGTAGAGTTTTTTCTCTCAATTAAATTTGTTTGTGGCAATTGTGCCATTAAATAATGTCTTGCTAATTTTTTGGAAGTTTGAATTGTTTTGTTGTAATTTTGAGTGAAATCATGGCATTGTTACAAATATGTCAATATTTTCTTAAAATGGGCTACAAATTATTGTTTGGTATTTATATTCAAACAGAGCATTATTTTATTTATAAAATGGCCTATGCCCAATTTTCATGAAAAGCTGAAATTTACATGATTGCAATAGTTGAACTTTCTTTTTGATGTTTCGTGAGTATTGTTCAACGTCATCAGCAAGGTCGTTTAGTAGATTAGTTTTTCTGGAATCTACGTTCCTGGGTTGGAATACCAGCCAAGGTAAATAATTTTGTGGATTAGGAACACTTCTCTGGGTTCAGCTAATAATGTAACCATTTATAAGTGAACATAATGTGAAAATATGTGAAACATATACATAATGTGAAAAAATATGTACTGTTGTAGCGTACTAGTTTGTTGAAGCAAATGTTTCATAAAATATTATTTCATGTGATGTTAATCCTAGTATATGTAAGGGAAATAAATATAAGGAGATATTTCGACTATTTCTCTCACATTTGATAATTTATTATATTTTACAGAACATTCATTCAGCCTAGAAAATGAAAACAAACAAGACTTAAGTAATTCGAATAGCAGTTCAAGTCCCCTTAGGTCCTTGGAGTCAACCACTACTGTAGTGAGACGCAAATATCGCAAGAAAGAATTCCCAAGAACAGCAATGAAAACTCGTGGCGCCAAATTACCCAATTTTGCTTTGCAAATTAAAGCAAGTCATTGGCCTCATAAGAGACTGGTCCAAGCTACTAATGATCCTCAAACAAAAACTGATAAAGGGCAGGACATGCCTTTATCATCAAGCGAGAGGTACTTATTTCAGTATTTATTTTTATTTTCACATACACGTAATTTTGCTAAGTGGCCACTTTCCAGAAAACATGGAAAACTGGGAAAAATAAGAGTTTCATTTGCTCTGGAAAAATCAGGGAATTTGAAGAAGAATCGTTAGAATCCAGAACAATGTTGTGAGGGTTATATCACTATATATTATTCTTTAAAAACATTAGTTCAGCATTATTTTTTCTCAATTTTTATTTGGTGAAAAAATATTGTTAATTCATAATTTATCATGTTGAAATAAAAAGAGCTGATCAAATAGGAGTAGGGGAGGGTAGCTTTAATACTTTTTTTCTTTTTAACTAAAATTCCTTTGGTATGAAATTACAAATTTTTTCATGACAAAATAAGAAAATATGGTCTGGAAAACTGGGAAAAAGTTAGGTAAATTTGTTCTGGGAAATGAGTTTAGAGAAAGTTATATAATGTTGCAAAAAATCAATGTTTGGATTTTGGTGGAAATACTCCTTTGTGTTCTTGACCCCTTAAAGGTTTTTTCTAAAAACATATGTTCATCTATCTGTCCGTGAACACACTAGCTCCGAAACTGCACATAGGTATTTCACCAGAATTGATATTCCTCAATCGATCCAGGCGATGTTAAGATAATTTTGCAGGACAATTCATTATAACATTATAAATCAGATCCTTTGGACACATGATTAGTGTCATCGGGGAACAACACTGCTTGTCTTGTGATCCATCTGGACTAAGTCCGAACCTTGATAATTTGTTTTGTTTTCTTTTTTCTTTCTTTCTTCCTTTATTTAAACTTTTGTAAGAAAAAGGTACAGTTTTCTGAATTCACAGTCAAGAAGCCATTTTGTGATATATTTTTGAATTTTCAAAAAATTAAATATATGTATTTTTTCCAACCTCCCACACTTCATTTGGTTTGAAGTTTTTAAAGTGTTAGTAGGATAGAAGTTGCAATATTACTTAAATGTTATCTTGTATAATACAAGAAAATGTGTGCTGTCATAGCACCACTAATTTTTTATATTTGTCTACAATGATTCTAAATTTTAACCTGTTAATGATAAAACAGTTTAAAATGTTTTGATACAGCAATACTATTTTTCTTGTAGAAATAAAAACTCTACATTTTGAATCTTGTTCAAGAGTACTCTTAAATATTATGCACATAATTGGTTATTCAATGGAAATTAAATTTATTGAAACATTTGCAACAAGAAAGAGGACATGAAGTATTGATATTCAAATTTAAATTCATTTGGGTTAATTGGATTACATATTTTTTTAGTGGAGATTTACATGAAGATCTTCAACAAGATGCGAAAAGTGAGCCAATGGAATCTTCAAGTATTCCAGAAGATTTACCACCCAGGAGAACCCTCCCAGCTGATTTTGTGGAATTGGAGTCCAATCCTCTCTATTGGTCTGAAGATGATGTGTATCAGTATTTAATGAGGACTGAAGATTGTGCTTGGATTGCACAAAAGTGCAAAGAAGAAGTAAGATGAAGAATTAGTGGTAAATGTGTTATAATGTAGGCTTATGCTAGTCTTAAACTGATTTTCTTTTCTTATTGTTTCTAGTTGATTGATGGCCAAGCATTTATGATGTTGAATTTGCCGACATTGAAAGAACATTTATTTTTGAAGACAACAGCTGCTCTCAAACTTTGTAATCATATAGAACGTATTAAACTTGCATATTATCTTCAGTATGTGGCAGACAGTGAACCATGAAATATAATAAAAACGTGACAGGCAAAATGATTTAATTGAATGATCGACTGTTGATTTCATATATCTTTTAATAATTAATGTCTATTTGTATGAATTGTTTAACAAAACATCATATCATTTCTAGAGTCTGTGTGTACTTTTGAAATAGCTTTGTATAAGATGATTGATTATGATTATAGTTGTGAATTTTTGTATATATAAATGTATATATTACGTAAATATTTGTAAATAAATGTCAAGTGTTGTATTAAACCCTATGTTTAACGTTATTGTAAATGACCAGTTTTACAATTGCTGCTTCGAGAAGTGTTTGGTTTAATAAAGAGCATTAAAAGTGGCACTTTTTACGCCCTGCTCCTTAATTTTACTCATGCGATCACTTCCGATCCACCCTTTGTTTAGCTCGATCCAATATAACGTGAATGAATGTGTATTCATGTCATGTGTCGGGGCAATGACCTGTGAATGAAAATTGGTATTTTTACGGAAGATGCAATGATGGAACGGAATGGCAAGGGGAAGAAAGGACTAGACATCAGAAAAGTAATTCGCGGATTACAGTAAATAAACCTATTAAGTACGTAGAAGAAAGAAACGCTTCAGGATTCGTAATGTTAAGATGAATCCCCACCTACACTACTGTAACCATTGATTGACAAACGTCTAGTGTTGGCAAAATACTGCCCAATCACCAATTTCAAAAATTAGAATTTGCTTTCTTTGTGTAAATGTGATGGTCAGAACATGAGCGATGAATGATTAATTAGTGTGAAGATACAAGAGCCCCGCCTTTTTCAATTCGATGCAGCGTAAGCGAAACTGACATTAGTGGTGGTCACGTGACGTGCAAGTGTAATTTCCTATGGGTGTTGGTGTGTAAATAAATATGGATTAACACTGAAAATCACTGTTTCAACTGCAGAATTGAATTCCAAGGTAAAGTTTGGAAAGACATTGCGTGAATTTGACATTCACTGCAGCCCTCTACTTGTGTGTGCGTCATTGCGGGCATATAAATCAATAGGGTTACACCCATCCAGCGCTCCACTGTTGGCAAGCCAATGGAGTAGCGTTGCGTTCAGCCTGCGTACTAGGTTTATTAAAGCATATAGTAATTTTGTCGTAGACCTATTTGCCACAGTAGGATGGTACTTAGAGACGTTTCATGTACTGATTTTACATCGTGCGCTGAGAAGTTCTATTAGGGAATGCCTTCATGTGCCGGGTTAAATTGGTGGGTGTTGTCAATTGCATGCTAGTCGTGAGGAAATTCATACCAAATTAGATCATCGTACTTATTGGGAATGTGAATGGAGCTAGCGGTTTCTTAGTCATCTTGCATGGAGGAGCCGGAATTAGTTGTGTGAGCCGCACCTAATCTTCTTCTGAACATTTAACAGGGTGAAGATGGAATTAGCGAATTTAACGAAACTACTTTTATTTGTGTGCTGCTGTTTGCCGGCATTGGCCATAAGTAAGTGAAAAGGTTTCAATTATTTTGAGGTGGGCGAAAGCTATTACACCTTAAAGAATCCAGATATTATAAATATTCGTGAATTTTCCAGTACAATCTCCTCCCAGAATTACAAAACAGCCTCCAACAGATGAACTTCTTTTCCAAGTTGCTCAACCACAGAATGATAACCCTAAACCATTCATTATAGAGTGTGAAGCTGAAGCAGAACCAGCACCAAAGTAAGTTCGAGGTTGGAAGTATTGTGCTCTGTTATTAACTCATATTTCTTCTCTTGGTTCTCTTCTAGTGTTTTTTTTCTCTTGCTGTACTTTTGACATTTGTATTCCTTTCTTGTATTTTCTACAGTCAAGTATCATAAAAATAATGTCGGTTTTTTATTTGCTGTGAGTTAGTGTGCTTTTTTTTTTAAAATGTAGAATATAGAGAAAGCAGATATATGTATTTTATATGTTAAAGAATAGTATTATTGCTGTTTGAATAGATATCGGTGGATTAAGAATGGAAAACACTTTGATTGGCAAGCATATGATGACCGTATTTCTCAGCAACCTGGTAGGGGAACACTTGTTATAACAATACCAAGAGATGAAGACTTAGGTAAGTCTAAATGGTGTCAGAAACAACAATGTAAAATTAATTTAAATTCTGTTTTGTATTTTTGAAGAGAGACTTTTATTTTAGCATTTCAAAGTATTAAGACACTTATTCTCTGAATGATGTGGAGTTACCTTAAATGTCAAACTCGGGAGATTTAAAAAGAATGATACACATAATAAATTTGTAGTACACCCATCATGTTTTTTGATCATACTTTCTCATTTTTGAAACACTTTTTTTCTACTTGTTGGTTAAAAAAAAGTAATTGCTAGAATTAGCTTTGAGAATATTAGCATTGATTGAGATTTTTGATTGGAACAGATTTTTATGAGATCTGTGTTCTTAGGTATGGTTTTATGTAATTATATAACGTGGTAAATTGTAAGAAATTTCTCGTGGAAGTGCATGGTTGATCATGATATGCTTACACTTGTGATTGAACAATATTTTTAAGGTAAATGTTTAACTTGATTATAAGAAATATATTTTGAACCAAAAGAAAGATAAGACAATTAATCATTATATTCAAATAATTTCTTTAAATATTAGCAAATTACCAGGATAAGATAAGAGAGTAAAATATCTTATTTTAGAATGTTTTGTAAAATAATGACCAGTGATGTGTATCTTTTTTTAAAGAACTATTTTGGGTTATATTAATTCTAGTTCATAGGTAAAATGTTCTTTCTAGATACTTATCAAAGAAGAGAGACATATTTTCAACCATTCCATTATTTTTCTCAAGACAATCATTGCAATTATAATGTTCTGCATTAAGCATTTTTGAAGTCTGTTTCTCTGAATAAAAAAAATCAGAAAATTGGCTTACTGAATCTTAAATAACTCCAGAAATTTAATAATTTTCTATAAAATAAATTACTACTCCTACCTTTCTTGCATTTAGCATTGGCATTTAGAAATTTCAACTTGATAATGTGATGTATGAACATATCACTTTGTGTGCAAGTTGGAATGAAAGCAATGAATAAGGATATCTTCATCAATTTACCTTGTGATATCAAAATTGAGTACTATAGTTATTTTGAGACTTTTACTGCGAGTATGGGATGGACTTTAAACCAAAATATAAGAAATGAATCTCCAGTGACTTGTTTTTGAACTAGTCCTTGATTGTTACAATTTTATCTGAGTTGTACTTACCTGGAATGCAAATGCATTGATTTCTTGGAAACGTCTAATTGTTCTGTCAATATGAATCTTTTGAGCAAGAATATAGTCTGAAAAGCAACATTTTTGTTATCTCTTATGTAGATTTGATGGAAGTTGTGGGGAAATTTAACTTGCTTGGTCTTAATTTTAGATATTTTTAATTGTATAAGTCTCTATCAAAATTGAGCTTGACTTGAGTTAAATAAATGCTTTGGAAATACTTTAAAAAGTCAAGGTCTTAACAAATTATCAAATAAAATGTCTTGATCTTGTGTATCTGGAACATTGGCCAGTTTTTTTTTATTTTTTTTTTATGGCTGATGAGTAGACCACTTTGCGAATATACCTATTTATTTTTGTTCTCAAAGTGAAAATGCTTTGTAATATTGATGTCATTTTTTGTGGTCTTTCTTTTCAGAGATTCTGATTTAATTTGTATGGATTGTCTGTCATATGACAGTAAAACTTGTTCAATGCAGAATCTCAAGGGACCACTATTTTTACTATATTAGATAAGATTCCACATTATGCAATGTAATATTGTAGAATTTGTTTGGCTGGACTGTGATTTATGTTAGACAGATTTCTGCATTATACAAGTTCCGCATTGAGCTAGTTTTTCTGTATTACCTTTCTGACTTTGTTCCGTTCTCTATTGAAACAGTATTGCAAACAAAAAGCATTAAAAGAACCTTTTTAAATAGTTTAAGACTTTTTTCATCTATTTTATACAAATTTCTATTTACAGCATTGAAAAATTATTTTTGTTAGAATTTTAATTCTTATATATACTTACAAAGTCAAGTGTTTGTTTAGGACAGTACCAGTGTTTTGCTGAGAATGAGTGGGGAACTGCTACATCAAATTCTGTATTTGTGCGCAAAGCTGAACTTAACTCTTTCAAAGATCAGCCATTACAGACTGTTAATGCAAATGAAGGAGATCCATTTAAATTGACTTGCCAACCTCCTGATGGTTGGCCAAAACCAAATGTGTATTGGCTCATTCAGGTAAAAAACTTATTTTCTCTTTAGTAGATATATATGTTAGTACATTGTAATGAATACCTTTAATGTGCTTATCTGTATTACAGAGTAGTGAAGGTGGAATTAAAAGCATAAATAATTCTCGCATGACTTTGGATCCTGAAGGAAACTTGTGGTTTTCTAATGTTACCCGTCAAGATGCTAGTAATGACTTCAGCTATGCTTGTGCTGCTACTTCTGTATTTAGGTAAAACATATTATATATTGATTTTTTAGGTTAGGTACTTTTGCGGTTTTACATGAACATTAACACACCAAGAAGTGGTAAAGAAAGGGGAGGTACAAATGCCAGTAATAGGTTTCTGATTGGAGGGGGGTGTTACAGATATAAATTAAAAAGATAGATTGTAGAACATACAATGAATCCCCTCTTTTACACTTTTCAAGGGTCTCAGAAAAAATGGAGTAAACCATATGAAACTGTAAATGGAAAATTAACTTTGTTTTTGAAACAAAGTTCAGAAGATTTATTGTCTACATTTATTAATAATATTCACATTTAATGGAATATAATAGGGTTTCTGGGGACCAAATGCTGTTGATTCTATTTTTTTTTCTTTCTTTCTACAAAGCAAAATCTGTTGTTGAAACCATTTTATGATTAATTGAACACTATATTTTTTTTAAACTGTATGCAATAAAGTAATCCTTTACTATATTTAGAAACAAAGTTAACTTAGTAGTAACTATCAAGTAATTTTGCTTGCAAGACAGAGGGAAATAGTATAGAAATAATGACACTCACCATCTGTAATTGCTTCAATAAGAAAGTACTTTGATAAAGAAACAAAATTGCTAAATGTGCCAGAATTACAATCTCTCTGCTTCATTACTAAATGAAATAATTGTGAAATTCAAAATGAAGTGCTCATTTATATTGTAACGTATTTGCGGTAATGCATTGGCTAAACATATCTAAAATGTATGTAGCCTGCCACAAATTAAGCCTTAAAAATAAAGCCTTTGACAAGTCCCATACAAATGATTTGTTCATACACTTTTATCCTTGGCAAGATAGATTGGTGAATATATTTGCCAAAAAGAACATTTCAGTGGCAATTGGAAATGTATTAGAGATCTCAATCCGTTGAAAGTGGAGTTCCTCAAGGTTCTGCTACCAGCATAGGTAACTCAGGGCATTCACTAATGTCACTGCAAGGTCTCTATTTTTACTAATGGAAAACACATTCTCCAATCTATAGCTCAACTAAGTGATCTAAGAGTTATTACCAAATATCTAAAATGGGATAAGTTATTGCTGATGCATGTCTTTTTGAACTGCATGATGTTAGGCTTCTTACTGTTTATACAACAGATGGTTTATGTTCTGTTTGAAGCTAGTTGCCAATACCTGTGGTTTTGAGACCACTGTTCTTGACCCTTCCTATTTAAGTGACTCATTTGTGTCTTTTAATCCCAATGGTATCAATAATGCTGAGACTCTTGCTTTTCTCTGCTTTCTTACTTTCTGCTCTTCTAATTTCTTCTTTTTTTATTTTGGCCAACAATATCAATCCACAGCTTTAATGCCAACAGCCCTTATCTGTTGCTTAAGTTCATTCTCTACCTCTGAATATTTCCCAAACTTCAGGGCATGTGGTCATACTTTCTACAAGGGACTTGTACCTCCTTCTCTTATCACTTTTTGTCAGTTTGGTTTCATGTGAAGGGATTCATTTGCCTTATAGTTACTTTCCCATGTGATATTCCACTCAGAATGTCTTCCACACTACTGCCATTTACTGCTAGTTACGTACCTAGATATTGTAACATTCTGCCAGGTTCTCATTTCGGATGCATCATCTACACTGTCTTGGCTTTTCCGCTGTACAACCATGTATTGTTTTACTAAAATATATTTCAAGCTCCCAACTCCAATGCTGTTCATGAACTTTATATGAAAAAGTAGGAAAAAAGCATGTGCAAAACATCATCTAACTTCTCAGCGGAGATAATCCGCTCATCTGCTTAATTAAGAGAATAGAGCATGCTATCTTCTTGTAGAGTAATATGGTATTTAAATTCAGTAAGGACCGTATGCAAGTGTACTGTGTTTAAAAGTGTACCGAATTACATTATGAAAGTTCTAGTAAAGCTCTCAATATCTAAGAACTAGGTTTATAAGAGATAACCTCTTGTTCTACCAAGTCCTTCAATTTCTGTATCCAGAATGCAACATTTCAGAAGCGCTAATTATAATGCTTAAATTATAAATGGGAAATCTTGCCACAGCAATAGCAAAATTAATGCAAAAAGAGAAGTAGGCCAATGTTAGAAGAGGATTTTGGCAGGGAATGTATTGACCAATTCAGTAAAGTAAGACAATAGACAAAAAAACATTTAACAGACAAAAAAATTACAAAGTAAAATATTAAATCAGACCCTGCATTATATTAACCAAAATATACTAAGTAGTCAAAAGTATCCAGACACTTGACTTAAAAGGACTTAGCAGTTTGTGGTGCCCTTCATTGGTAATGCTGGAATTCAGTAGGGTGTTAGCCTACCCTTAGCCTTGGTGACAACTTCGACTCTCGCATACTTTCAATCAGGTGAAGGAAGGTTTCTTGGGGAATGGCAGCCCTTTTCACAGTGATGCACTGAGGAGAGATATCGATGTAGGTCGGTTATAGTGCCACATAAAACAACAAGGGGTGCACACCCCCTCCATGAAAAACCACCACACCATTACACCATTTTGGACGTGTCTGGATACTTTTTATCACTTAGTGTATATTGTACAACATACCTTTGTTTTAATTTGCTTGTAATGTTTATAAATATTAATGTGTAATAGTGAATAGATTACAGTTAAAAAACAAACATGTCCCTAAATATGTTGGGGAATATTGTACCAGAGAAGTCTTCCAGTAGAGTATTTTAATAGGTAATTCTTGATTGAGAAGTATTCAGAAAATTGAAATTACTATTATTAAATTCAGATCATATCGATTGATTATGTCAATATTGAGAATTCTATGCCTTCATCAGTCTTCCTCCCAACAGTAGCTTAATCCTTCTAGAAAGGCTGAACAATGGCAGTGACAACTGTGCCTGCTGCTTATGCCATGCAGAGGCAGCACCTCATTGTGGATTGCTGACAAAAAAACCCTATATATCTGTAGTGTGGTATGGAGTGTAGGAATAAGATGAGAATGATATGTTAATTTAAAATCTGACAAATTGAAATGACTAGCATCATATGAACAGTATGTAATATGCAAAACGGTAATTTCATTTTGCCAAACAAGGTCATTTCTTTATCTTATGTATCAAAAGAGAATTTAGTTCATTTATTTTCATTGTGATTCCTTGTTTCTTCCATTGTAAGATTTTAAGAGTGTGTTACTCTTGTTTTAGAAATGAGTATAAATTGGGAAACCGCGTTGTATTAAATGTAATTGCCACTGGAGCATCCACATCACAGAATAGACATGCTCCTGTGCAGCAGTATGTTACCAGGAAGAATGAAGTGGCATTGCGTGGTAAAAGGGTGGAGTTATTCTGTATATTTGGTGGAACGTAAGTAGTCATTCTAAATTTTAAAAATATAAGAAATATTGTATTATAAGCAAAAGAAATTTGATGTTTCTATGTGATAGTGAAAATAACTTTTTAATGCCAGAGTATTTTGTGACAACTTATTCTGGTTTTGAATTAACATTTTGGTATTGGTTAATATTCTTATACTGTACCGTACAGAAAAATGATGTAAACTAGTTGTGAAAATTGTAACCTGAATTGTCTAATAAATCATTCCCGTTTATAGGCCTCTTCCTCAAATAGTTTGGAGCAAAGATGGGAAGCCTATTCACTCATCTGATCATAAACAACAAGGAAATTATGGAAAAAGTTTGATCATCAAACATGCAAATTTTGAAGATGAAGGATCATATACATGTGATGCTAGTAATGGTGTTGGTGAAGCAAAGTCATACTCAATACACCTACAAGTATTAGGTAGGTATTCTATATGGAACATTTTTTATTTTATTTTTTAACTTGACAACCTACAAGTTTTTTCTTTCTTGCAGCAACTCCATACTTCACTGTTGAACCTGAGTTTATAAATGCTGCCGAAGATGAAACTGTGACTTTCAAATGTGAAGCATCAGGTGTTCCAGAGCCACAGGTTAAATGGATTCATAATGGAAGGCCTATATCAGAAGCAGATGCAAATCCACGACGTAAAGTAACCTCAAACAGCATCACTATTGAGAAACTGAAGAAGACTGACACCGGCAATTATGGTTGTAATGCTACAAACAGCTTGGGTTATGTGTATAAGGATGTGTACGTTAACGTATTAGGTTAGTGTTGCAAATTTGAATATTATTGGCTTATCTTCAATGTTTGGAGCACAGTGTTTATAATTTTTTATTGCAGCTCTTGCTCCTGAAATAACTGATCCTCCTATTAATGAGGCAACAGTAGATGGTCGTACTGTTGTCCTTTTGTGTCGAGTATTTGGTGCACCAAAGCCACAAGTGAAGTGGATCCAGAATGATAAAGAACTTACTGGAGGACGTTATTCAGTGAAGGAAAATGGAGATCTAGAAATCAGGTAGTTGTCAAATATTGAGGGAGATTTTTTGGAGGACCGTTATTTAATGTGTGTGAAGAAGGAAATACGAGAAAGGAAAGGAAAATTATTTATTTGAATAATAATAATAATAATAATAATAATATAATAATAATAATAATAATAATAATAATAATAATAATAATAATAATAATAATAATATCATAAATTTTACATTGAAACAAACATATTAATTACTTACTCAAGCATTGTTTCTTTTAAGAGAAGGATGCTGGTAAGAAGATAAAAAGCACCACGAATAATTGAAATGTTTGTACTATGATTTTGCTTCAAAATAAAATTTTAATTGGTTCTAACCCCACACCGCAACAAATGTGGATTTTGCTTTTACTGCTTAATGTATTTATTCTGCGTACTTTTTAAAATCAAAATCCTCTGTACAATTTTTTTTAAAATTTAGATTCAAATAAAAGTTAGTTTTCTAAAACAAATAGTATTTGCAATATTTCTTGAAGTACACAACATGTTTTCTGTATTGTTTTTTGGTGCATGTCAGTTTGCAAATATGCGATTTCAGACCAATTGTGTTCCAACTCTCAATATTCAGAGCAAAAGCATTTGCAAGAAGTTACACTGTAGTGTTAATACCACAAAACACATAATATATTATACATATAATATATACAATTTTGCTTTTGAGTTGTGTTTGCACTATTTTGCATGTTTGCATAGTCTTTTTCAATACCTATGAAGTTTGAAAAGCAAAAGATATCTTCTTTCCCCTGATGTGTCATGCATCTGGAACTAGTGTAAGTATTTAACTATGCTCACAGTCCTCTTCTGTAATTCTTTTCCCTTTTCCATGCCTTTTGAGTGATGTACGTTCCTTTCCTAATACAATGCACTTTGTGGACAAATTTTTGAGCTCCCAGAACATGTGCTGCTTGTCGAGCAACTGAATCGAGTAGTGATCTGCTAGTTGTTCTGCGATCACTACTATTTTTACCTCTGTGCCTTTTCATTACAAGTTTTTGTAGTCTTCCCATTTTGTGTTCAGTATCAAGTATGAATCTGCCTTAAAATTCTAGATTTGGAATCTAAAACTTTAGTTGTTTTGAATTGTTCAATTGAAACTTAAAATCCTTGAAGTTCCTAACAGTTTACATAGAAATTTCAATGGGTACCATTAGAAACTCCCTTATAATTATTTAACGTCCATTAAATTCGGAGTCCATTGTATCTGCCGGATAGGAATAGCAAATGTGACTGTTCTAATCTATTTGTTTCTAATTGACAGAGAAGTGGCCTTTAGTGATGCTGGGGAATACCGGTGCTATGCCGAAAATAAATTTGGTCACGCTGAGGCTTTAGGAACTTTAACAGTGAAGGGTAAGAATGAGCCTTTGAGAAACACATCCATTTTGAAGTAATTACTTTTTAGCGATGAAATAAATATAACCATTTTCTTCTTTTTCAGACCGAACCAAAATTACAGATGAGCCAGAAGATTATGAAGTGGCTGCTGGTAATACTGCTACTTTTCGTTGCAATGCTGTGAGCGATCCCTCTCTTAGCCTGACCATTGAATGGCAAGTGAATGGGCAAGAAATTGATTTTGAAGCTGAACCACGTTTTGTTCGCTCATCAGATTATTCTCTTACTATTACTAAAACAACAGAATTGGATTCTGGAACTTACACTTGTGTAGCTAAGACTGAACTTGATGAAGCCACTGCCCAAGCTACTCTAACCGTACAAGGTATTTCCTTGTTAAAGCCCTTCTCCTCCCCCCCCCTCCCCCAGATGGATACTTATTACCTTTGATTATAATTTCAGATGTTCCAAATGCTCCTCGCTTACGTGGTATCAGTTGCAATAAGAGAGATGCAACCATACAGTGGGAACCTATGGGGGATAACAGAGCTCCAATTCTACATTACACCATTCAGTACAATACTAGTTTCACCCCTGATACATGGGAAGTAGCATATGATTCAGTTCCAGCTACAGACATGGCATACACGGTACTTTAGTTTTACTTTTATCATTCTTTTTAAGATAACTGAAGCACGTGTTTCATATTTTCAATTTTATTAAACTTTTAATTAAACGTTGTTTTAGGTTCCAATGAGTCCTTGGGCAAATTATACTTTCCGTGTCATTGCATGGAATAAAATTGGTCAATCTGTGGCTTCTTCACACTCTCATCAATGCACTACTCAAGCCGATGTCCCGTACAAAAATCCGGATAATGTTGAAGGGAAAGGCACAGATCCAAATAACTTGGTTATCCACTGGACTGTAAGTTAATTTAATAATTTTTGTATTGTGTATAAATTTTACCTTCTTTCTATATCATTAAGTATTTCTTTATAATATCATTTATATCATTATCTGTAAGTGTGGTTGTAGTGAATAAAAAGGTTTAGTTATATTATGTATTTTTGAGTTTGTGTACAATGAAAATGTACATACTTGTCTCATAAATGCCCTAATATTGCTAATTCATACTTATAAAATTATTAAATTATTCATCAGAAACTGTTAAATCTTAAATATTTTGTTGCAGGTAATGCCAGAAATAGAGCATAATGCTCCCAGATTTATGTATCGTGTCTCTTGGAAACGTGACATTAGTGGTGCTCAGTGGGAGTCCCAAGATATAGCTGACTGGCAGAAATCTGAATTAGTTATAAATAATCAGCCAACATTCATAAGATATCGAATAAAAGTTGTTGCCTTTAATGAAATGGGAGAAGCTAATGTTGCACCCCAGGAAGTTATAGGATACTCTGGAGAAGATGGTAACTGTTCATAGAATATTTTTAATCAGTTGTCCTCAGTCTAGAACTATTGTTACATTGCCCTTTTGTTTTTTTAGTACCTACTCAGGCTCCATCCAACTTTACACTGGAGAGTATTGCTGATTCAACCAGTGCACTCCTGAGTTGGTCTCCTGTAAATGAAACAACTGTCAGGGGTCATTTCAAAGGATACAAGGTATATTCAGTTAATAATATCTAGAACCTTTTTTCTAAGTTTCTGCAGATTTCCAGACCTAGCAAGAATCGAACACAATTCGCTAACGTGTTGCAAATGCGGCTGTTGCTGGGAGCCTCTGGTCATGTAAACGTGCAAGGACATTCTCCTCCTTATAATGCCTTTCGCAAGGGCCAATTTATTCCTGGCAAACATTATTATTTAATGATTAAGAGTAGCTTTCGATGGCTTAGTCATCATCATCATCGAAGTCAGATATTATCTACAATTGATGACAAGTCATTGTAAACTAATTCTTTTATTTGGGATACCGTCTAAACACATCACCTATATTCAATTACGGACTGGCAGATCTTGCTGAAATTGTTCTGTTGTTAGCAATACCTTTTTTACCCAAACTTATGAATTGGTTTTAAACAAGCTAATTTTCATACGCCAAGGATAAGATCTGATAAACAAGTGACAGTTTTTGAACAATTTTTACATATTTATATACAGAGTAAAACACACAATATAGAGAAAGTTTCTGCTGAAAACTGATCAGGCCCTGAGTTCTTACATTAATCAATTTTACCAATTTTTTGAAAAATGTCTGTTGTTAATGCAATAGTATTTAAATTATAAGAGGTTTGATCATTTAGTTCAATGTTAAGGATATTGGAAGGCTTATAAAAAGTTTTAAATTTGTCAGCAAAACCATTTACAATTAATACATAATTATATTTGTAGACATATTCATAGCATCCATAGTCGATGTGCCAGGCAATTCATACAATTTTTTAAATGGCTGGCTAAGTTAATTTGAAATGAAAGTAAATTTCAAGTTATTAGTTGTTGTAGAAATAGATGCCATAGGGTGACAGGAAGAAAATTGTCACAGAAGGGTTTTTGTAGACTGTATCAAAATGGAAGACAAAAATTGCAAATTTGACACTAAACCTTCAATGGGACCTAAAAAATTTGGAAGGCTACCTAATTTTGTAGAATGTGCAGAAAGAAGGAAGGAAAGATGAAAGTAAAGATGAAGATGATGGTCGGAAAATGATGATCCTTTGGGAAGCAGAAAAAGTAGCATAGCACAGGAAAAAGACTGTCAACAAGAAATTTTTCTAGTTAGTAATACAATTTGTGGCTAAATAGTAAGATTGATGGTTTTTATATTTTATTTCATTTATTTTTTAACCTCAGAAGGTCTTTACAAAACTGGAAGTCATCTTATATTTAGGTAAATACATTAATTACATGAGTTTCAACTGGTAGAAGCTCGAGAGATTCTGTCTGGTGTTCATTTACTCAGTTTTACACTTTTCCCCATTGTTAACTCCCTTTGATACTGAACAATGTTTTGCCGTTATTTCATAACATTTAAATTCAATATTTTAGAACTTTTGCATTTTTAATGTGTTGATTACCAAGTCAACAAACCTTTTGTTCTTCTTAAAACAAAAGCATTTATGATATGTATTTCACTAACATATTTAAGCTAATTTTTATAGAACTTAAATTACTGCTTGTATCGTTATGTTCATTTTTTCCCCGCAGATTCAAACATGGACAGACAAAGAGGGTGAAGCAGGAATGCGAGAAATTCAAGTGAAAGGAACAAATGCAAGAGCTCTGGTCACAAAATTTATTCCTCACTCTAAAAATTATGCACGAGTATTGGCATTTAATGGTCGTCACAATGGACCTCCAAGTGATGTAATAAGTTTTGATACCCCTGAAGGAGGTATGTATTTGTAAAATAGATATATTGATTGATACACTTGCTTCTCGGATCTCTCTCGGATTACAAAAAAATTTCAATCTGTGTTGAAGAGAGAGAGGGACAATTTAGGAAGAAGGGAGAAAAATTATCTTATAGAATTATATATTATCTAATAGAGTAAAATATTACCTTTTTTGAAGAATTTATGCTAACATTCATGACATTTTCAGTTCCTGGAACAGTTTCATTTTTTGAAGCAGTTCAAATGGGCTCATCAGCTTTCTATTTAATGTGGAAGCGACCTGAACAACCCAACGGAATTATAATTGGCTATAAAATATATTATCAGGTTGTGCAGAGCACAAAAGTAGGTCCTCTGCTTGAAAGAGAGCCTCATATTTCTGATCCAAATCAAACCAGAGCCAAATTAGCAGGATTGGAGCCTGGTGCGAAGTACAGACTGCATATTAGAGCAATGACTAAAGCAGGAGAAGGTGAAGATTATTTTATTGAGCAAAGACTTCGAATGGTCTCTGCAAGTAAACCAAATGTTCCCAAGTTTAAATGGCACCAATTACCAATAGAAAATGGATATGCTAGTATCAAAGTAACATGGCTTCCAAATATTGAGACACCTGGTTCTCATTTCTTTGTTAAATACAGGTAAGTTATCTGTAATATATACAATAAAAAATTCAATGTTATCTCAACAGATTTATTCGTTTTAAGACTGGCAGATCATAGCTCAATTTAGGTTCTTACCATATTGTTTTAATGGTTCACTATCAATACGTGATGATAATCATTAGTGTCATTCAGCTGAATAATTGCAATGATTATTTACAAAATGCATGTTTTAAATAGTGAATCATTTATTAGACATCTACATAATGCAACATGAAGTCAGTTAAGTTTCCAACAGGATTGCAGACCTAGTAGCATGCGTGTGGTTCCCTGCTATTTCTTCAAATCAATAAAAGTTAGGTTCGTCTGGAAACTTCAAGAATCTTATTGAGTTAAAGAAATATAGTGAAACACTCTTTATACGTTGCTCAGTTGTTTTTCAAGTTTGTGTTGTTTTTTTTTTGGTAGGTCCCGGATAAATTCTATCATTCCCCTGCTAAATTATTTCATTTATACCTTATAAAACGTATATGTGAAGTTTTACTGTATACCTATCAAAGGTCCCTGTCTCATGAAACATGTTTCTTCAATAACAGTTGATTCATAAAGCAATGATAGTTTGCCTTTTCTCCTCAAGGTTGTGGAATTGGTTCTGATCAGTGTATTAATTTCTAGAAAAAAAAATGGAGTGTCCATCAGAATATATTTTAAGGTTGATTGTTCTCCCAATGATGATTTGTTAGTCACTTATTATTAGTCATTATCTATCATTCCCCTAGTCTTTATTGTAGTTGTAACATTGAAAATACAGTATTGGAAATATTTCTCTATATAAATATAATAAATGTGAAGATGTTTGAAGTCCAACTCTTAGATAATTGAAAGGATTTCATGGTTTTTGGTTACACAGATAGATTTCGGCACAAATTAGAATTTTATCATACCACATTGATGAATTTCAATTCAAATCTGAAGCTTGTTATTAACTGATGCAAAGTTTTATTACAAGGAAGCAAATAAGACCTTTTACTAAATGATGCTAAGAATGCCCATTGCTACCGTCATTTGTTATTCAAATGAATTTTGTAGTTATTAAAAAATAAAATGGCAGAGAAGAGTTTATTATTAATAAATGAATAAAATTATAAAATAAAAAAGTGCAGTGAAAAAGACAATATTATTTTGACATTGAATAAATAAAATTCTATCCTTGAAATTGTAATAGCACATAAGCCTTTTGTCAACCTGAAAGCTTATTATAAACCTCCATTTTACAAGTATGAAGACCACAAACATTTTTATTTTTACATCTTCAATGTTATTTATGCATGAAAATGTGAAGAAGACTGCTTTTATTATTGAATAAAACCATCTTCTGTGAGACAATGCATTCATTTTATTTTAAACGTTAATTTCTTCACAAACTTAGCTGTACAACTCTTCAGAATAACTTGATAGATGCCCTCAGATAACATGTATCTTTGTAACTGAAATAATACTGTGGTGCACACAAAATAGTATGTGATTTGCATTTGACTATTGATTTGTAAATATTAGTAATGTTATGTTTATGTAAGATGGACTCTGGTTAATGTGTAATAGATCATTGTAGCTATAAAATAAATTCAATCCTACATTTTCTGACAAGCATATAAAATTTATTTGCCTGTTTAGAAACGGTAATAACAATGACAAAAAATGGAATCTCTATATATAAATTGTATGCTTTGTCCCATTATTAAAATTATAATTCATTAATATTTGATCTGAAGGTTTCGGTGTCTTGTGTTAAAATGGTATGAGAAATATCTTAAATTGTCAAACAAAATATAAAAAATGTGTAATAAATATTATTTAACTCCTTACCCTTTTCTGTAAATTATGTTTTAGGCAAAAGGGAGAAACTCTATATGAAGAAACAAAGATGGAAATAACTGAAGATTTTATTGTTGTTCGAGGCTTAAAACCTGGAGAAATTTATGAATTCCAAGTTGTGGCTGTTGATGGTGAATACTTAACTCCCAGCGAAACAGAAGAAGTTGAGACTCATGGTGGTGAGAACATTGATTTCAGTGTTTTATATGCTGCTTTTAAGTGGTGCAAGAATTGTGCGAGATACTGATGTTTATTTTAATTTGTGTATTTTAGATGGTCCAATTATACAACCAAAAGAAAATGTTGCAACTGCAGGCTGGTTCATTGGGATGATGCTAGCTATAGCATTCTTATTGCTGGTGTTGATAATTGTTTGTATAATTAAACGTAATCGTGGTGGCAAGTATGCAGTTCATGAACGAGAAGCAGCCCATGGTCGCAACGATTATCCTGATGAGCCAGGCTTTCATGAATACTCTCAACCGTAATGTCATGTTTTATTAGACTGTGTTTATGAATAGCCACTGATACCGGATAATAATTGTGAAATTCAATTGATTCTTAGGCTTGACAACAAATCTCATGGCAGGGGATCGATGAGCAGTGATCCTAAGGCAGCTCCAGAAAGTGACACAGACTCTATGGCAGAGTATGGAGAAGGAGACACAGGTCAGATGGAAACATAATATGATTGTGTATTCCAAGATATATGACGGTTTTATGAAGTAATAAATCTTCAATCGAAACAATTTTTTAGATAGTAAATTTTTTATTACTTTTGATTTTTCTTAATTTTTATTATTATTATTATTTTTTTTTAATTAAATTTCAACTAAATTTTATGAGTTCCACTTATTTTTTCTTTTAAGTATTTATTTTTAAGCTTTGTTTTATTTTTATTTCTGTATGGTTCTTTGTTACGAGCAGAAGGTATGAATGAAGACGGATCATTTATTGGCCAGTACGGTAGAGACCAGAGGAAACAGGGTGAAACTGCTTCAGGAGGATTTACAACATTAGTATAGAGGAATCTCAATGTAGGCTGCTGATAGGTAAGATGCTTAGTGTATATAACACAAGTGTTTCTACAGTCAATGAGTGATCAGTGTTGCTAGTGAATAGAGAAGTGTTACCAGTTGAATCTATATAATGTAACAAACTGATTTTATATTTGAAGAACAGAATTATCATGTATAATTGCGTGTCTCTGTGTGCACAGGTGGCATTATAATTACATGATTTACAAGAGATTTTTCTTCCCATTATCAATGCTAGAGAATAGAAGTTTCACAAATTGTTTCAAATAACCATTGGTATAATGTCGTGAAACTGACTTCCTTTGCCACAATTTATTTATTTATTTATTAAATTATTATTGTTGTTAATTAAAATTATACAAGATTTCAGTAAGTGGTACCAAAATAATTAAAAGCATGAAGATGTTTTCTCTCATTTTCAATGTCAAAAGTATCCAATGGATGAACGAACATTCACATGAAATAAGTGCACTGTGTTCACTTCTGTGCAAGCTTTGTTAATGTGATAAAGCAAAGCAATGTATGGGGAAGAAATCTGTTATATGCACAAATTTGAGAAGTTTGCAGGGAAATATAGAAGAAGAAACATGATCGTTTTTTCCAGATTACAGAAGAAATATCATTTTTGTGTGTCTCTGGTAATGAAAATGTGGATATTTCTCACTCGTAAATGTAGTAAATTACTTCCTCTAGTATGTTGTATAAATACTCTCCAATTTATGGATCCTTGATACTGAAAAGGCGATTTTCAGCAATCTTGTCTGACCATTGATGAACAACACTAGTATCTAATTGTACAAAGGAATTTTCACAAAAATTGATATTTCCTCCCCAGTCTGGCTGACATCATGACTCCTTAAACTTGAAATGGAAATTTAATTTTGGGAATACTTAGAAATCTACTTTCAAAATTAGGTCTTTAAATAATATCAAGTACTTTTTCTTTTTCAAAATATGAATAGTTTTAATATAATTTCAAAGATTTAAAATCACTTTAAAAAACATACAACAAGATTTTATCGAAAAAACAAACAAACAGGTGGCAATTCAAAATTGTGGGAATTAATAATAAATAACTATAATAATTAACAATGAATTTTCATATCATTTCCATGCAGCTACAGGTCAAATTTAACTCTTGTGTGCTGCCACCTATTCCTTTTCTTAATAAAAATTGGAGGTAATAAACTTGCTATAATTTATTAGACAGTTTTTATTTGGTTGTGCTGCTTGGCTGTTCCTGCTTTACACAGCTAGTTGCAAATGTCCTGTCCTTCCATTTGTATTAACCATTACCTTTTTTAATGAAAAGGTAATGGTGCAGAACTAGTGAATTATTTATATGAGTGATTAATATCTAATGAAAAATTAGGTAGCTAGAACAATGCAGCTTCTATAATTTTTATAAGTAGAGTTAATTACTGTGATAGGTTTATAAAGTTTGGGAAAATCTGACATATACAATGAAATTCTATGATATTTGATTACCATTATGTAATTATTTGAATCATATTAATGAGGATTGGAAACGTATTATTGTTTTGTTAAATAGCTGCAAGTTTTCATCTTCCTTTGCATTCCAAATTTTGACAAAATTATCACAAACTGATGTTTCAAACAAAATAAATTCAATGTGTATTATCTAATTTATTATACAATTATCTTTTGGTCTGGAGAACCTTGATGCATTGGAAAGCATGTTTTATCTGCAACTGTGACCAGCCTCATAAATGTCAGAAAATGAATTTTCAGTGTACTGGAAACCTGGTTTTCAATAGACGATGGCTGTCCAACCTGCGATGTAATTGTAAATGGCCAAGAAAGCCTACAATTCTTATGCATTTAGCCATTTAATTAGATTTCTTAGTCCAGTTTTATTTAGGACAGTTATATCTTATACTTTTTAAAAAACAAAGGGTTAATAATAATATAGATTTGGAAATTTATTTGAAATATATTAGTTAAACTTTCTGAAGCATTACCATCACTCGACATTTCAAGGAGCACTTTTCCTCTTCTTCTGGAGTCTATGTAAATACAAAACAAAAATTCTTATGATCTAAATTACATTTTTCCTAATTTATAATTGTAAGTAAAAATAAGTTGAAATAGGTTATAATAATTATGTACCAAGTAAAAATGAACATAATTATTATATCCGATATAAACTTGATTTTACTTCAAATTTATAAGTTATAAAAAATGAATTTACTTTAGTAATTGTTTTTACCTAAATTCTAAAAATTAGAACCATTGTAATTTAGATTATAAGAATTTCTGTTTTGTATTCAAATAGACTCCAAAAGAAGAGGAAAAATGCTCCACGAAATGTTGAGAGATAGTAATGCTTCAGTAAGTTTAACTAGTACAGTTCAAATAAATTTGCAATTCTCTATTAATATACCAAATTATTATTAACCCTTTGGTTTTCAATCATATAAAATATGACGGTCTAAAATAAAGCTGAACAAGGAAATCTAATTATAAACCAAAGACAGTAAGCACATAGTGTATATTTAGCCATTTAATCTAAATACTAGTATTTATATTAGCATTCCTTTTAGTCATTTATTTTTCTTTAATTTAATTATAGATTCTAGATGTTAGATTAAAAACACCAGTTTTATTTTGTAAAGTGTTTATAATTTAAGATGTTTTCTAAAGTGCTCAAATTAACTTGTGAGAAAATGTAGTAATACAAATTTCTTGGTAATCTGTGAGAGTAATTTAATTATTATTTCAGAGAATTCAAAAACTTGTCTATAACTTTTTAGTCATTGCTGAAGGTAGTATTTTTAGACGCTGCAAAAATGGTATTTGCAATGAACCGATACATGCAGAAGTTTTAAATATTATTTTGTGTGTTTTGTTCCTCCCTTCTTAATTTTTTTTATTCAGTAATTGTTACTTATGCAAGTTTTCTTCTAATTTAAAGTAAACATGAAGTAAAAAAGGTTTTAGAAGTGACACGTGTGTCTGTTTGGATATTGTCTGTGTGTGAAAGTTATTAATAGCATTGCTTGTATTATATACAGTCATACATCAGCTTATTTTTGTTTCATTTTTTGCAGGTCGGTTTACAGAAGATGGATCATTTATTGGACAATATGGCCCTGGAAACAAGCGACAACAAGAAGATCAGCAGTCTCCATCTGCCATTGCCACATATGTGTAGTGCTAAAAGTGAAATTCAGAGCTATGCAGGGTGTCAGAACCATGACAATGTCAAGGACTTGTTCAGAATGTCTTCTACCATGATATAATGTATTTTAATTGCTTTTCAAGGTGTCACGTCAGGGTTGGTCAGATTGATGAGTGAATGGAGAAATGTTTATGGTTGTTCATTGTTTCATTTTCTGTTACCTGTTATTATACATGGTAATTAATTTGAAGTGATGAAAGGCATGCACCATTTGTTGAAAAATGGTGAAATGTATGCTTATCTTGTGATTATGATATGCAGTCTCATGCCATTGTATGTTATGTTTGATACACTGTGTGCATAGTTTAGCATGCAGTATTGACTGTAAACATTGGTATGAGAGACTAATCTTTTGTCTTTTATTACTAGCTTGTAATATGAATATTGACTGCAAAGTTCATATTTCTATTATGGAATTGATGATTTTCACCACAAGAGTATGTACACATACTGATAGCTTAAAGTGAATCTCCTCAGGCGCATGAGCAATCTGAAATTTTGAATCTCATTTCTATTCATTTGAATTAAAAATCTCAGAATGTTGGTTTCAGCTGTTTTCCTGGATTAACCAGGATTGCTGTGCCAAGTAGTCACAAACAGGACCAATTATTTAAACATTGTCAGATGATAAGGCTGTAAGTTTTGCCAGTTGAATCAATTCTTTTTTAAACATCCTAAGATATTTCTGAAGAATTCGGGTATGAACCTGTTTAACTGTTAAACTCTGTTGGAATTTCTCTTCACATTTCCTTGTGCTTTCTGGCTGCTGTCGCTGCTTTTGTGTTGTGCATTTAAAGTTGTGAGTGTGTGTAACGATGGCAGCTTAACAGTTCATTATGAAACATGATAGCAGAGGCCTTGCTCGCAGGAGGTCCACCTATAGATTTCCTCGTCAGTTTGTTCACTTTGTGAGAAGTGCTTCTGATTGTAATATATTCCAATGATGCAATCTTCTCCTTTAAATGCACGGTAGGAGTTAGTTGTTAGAATTAGAGATTTGTAGTTAAATCTATAGAAAAAAAAATTATATATAGTATATACAATTACTGTTTTGTATGCCTCACGCCGTGCACTGCCCTTCGCTATATGATAGATTTAATTCTTTTCTTGTTATTGTACAGTGAGATGTGTATATGAGAAACTATTGTGTGGTAGTGCTGGAATAAATGCTATAAATCATGCCAATGTTTGTTGTGGGATAGAATATTAGGCTATTTATCATGCATGTAATAGCTGAACTATTGACACATAATTACAATAATTGAATGGAAATTTTGCAAATCATTGTTCAAGGCGTTTTCACTTCTGTAAAAGAAGTGAAAAATCTAGCATATTTTTTAAAAGAAAAATATGAGGGATCTTTATGATCTTTTCTGAACCTCAGGACCTCTTTGAACATTGATATCCTCAAATTTCCTTTTCTTGGTTTGTTACATGATATCTCACATATGGTTGGTTGTGAATGTCTTGTAAAATGAATGCCATACATGAACAATTGTTTAGACATGTGATAATTTAAAAGTTCTTTGTATGGTTTGAAAGAAACTAACTGTTTTATAAATAGTTCATTTAACATTCTTTCCCAAGTCGAGGGAGTATTAACTGTGTTGTTTATAGCTGCTAACTATTTGTGTGTATTATTAAGCTTAAAGTGCTGACTTATACAAATGTTGGGCATTGTTCTTGTATGTGAAACCAGTATTTCTCAATTTGATGGATGTTGAGTGTTAATCTCCATTGTTCTGTTTCACCCATCTACAAAAAATATGTGGTGCAATTTTTCTGCTTTCTTGAATCTCTCTTGAAACTGTTGAATAATACTCTTACATTTACATGATCTATAGCATTAAAAATTACAGCTAGCCACAATTTGTAACGGGACTCGCAATGCTATTTGACAGGTCTACATGTGCAGTATGTTGTTTACAGTTGGATCGCTGTATAAAAATATATCTTCCTGCACTTAAGATTTTATTACAAATGCATTTTTTTATTGAATCTTACAAATTGCTTTTTATATTTCGTGTTGTTGAATTACACATTTAATTATCTTAGCACAAGTGCCTTAAATAAGGCATTGTTGTACCAGTTAGATGAAACGGCTATTTTAAGAAATCCTGTGCACTTCTTGTATCATTGTATCCTGTTCTTATTCAAGTGCACGTTGATCACTAAACTTGCTGTCTAAAGTATTCATTATACATTTTTTAATCCAATGGGAAAAAAATATTTGTTAATAATGCCTCCATTTCGTTCTTGTATTTTTGTATGCTTGCAAATTATTTGGAGATTGTGACATTATTTTTTTATGTGGAAAGGAAACAGCTGCAGTTAATATTTCTTAGGGACTGCAATTGTGTAGTTTAAGTGAGAAGAAATTACCAAAAGTTGCACAACCCATATTTTGGGGAGAGAAAAAGTATTTTTGTATGCCATTTGCATATATTAATACGGTATTGGCTTTATCAGTTTATTTCATGATTATTTTCTTATATATCAGTAGGGCAATACTTTCTGAGAAAGTCTGTAGTTTAGAATGTATTGAGAGTTAATTTCATGAAAAGTTACATTTATTTTTATACTATGAAATAATTTAATTTTAATTAGATACATTTTCTATTTCTGTGATGCAACTATGGCATCTGTTTGGTTGCTAGGCAACAGGGAGATTAATACATTCCTTGAGAGCACTCGCTCTAGCTAATAATAATTGCTGAATCACATTGCAAGATTGTTGTTTCCAAGTAGTGGCTTTGTATTATGTTGACTTACTGTCTCCCTTTCTATGTGAAAAGTGTTTTTTATCTATTTTATTTTTTATGTTTACAGCCTATGGAAAAGGAATAAAAATCACAATATTGTATTTTTGTGTTTATATTTTTAAAAACATACCTTGTAACAGAGAATCCAAAAATATTTGAAAAGAGTAGTGTTTCTATTTTCAAGTTGGTTCTAGGTCAAGACTTGAAATATTTCAGGGTTTTATGTATTCTAAAAAGTTCACAATTACAATTATTTCACCTGAGAATATATTCTTTTTTTTACTGTCAGTTTGGGTCGTTTTCATAAATGATTCAGAGAAATTTAGATTAATTGTAAATGTATACTCAGTTTAAGAAATTATTGAATTTTCGGTGATGGTGTCCGTATTGACACGCTAGGAAAACCCGCAGCGAACACGATCGCCACCGGTCTCTCGGCCGATAAAAACCTGTTTTCAGAGCGGAGCTGACTACTGCATTTATTTCACTGTGGCCACGTGACGTCACGCCTTCGGCGTCGGCAAGTGAACGAGCAGCGCAACGTTAAGAGCTTACAAAAACGTGTGTCTAGATCGCCCTAATACATAAATGCCTACAGGGCGATTGTCTATTTTGCGATTTTAATTTGAATGATTCACGTGAATATCCTATGATAAACGAAAAGTTTACATGCGATTCTCGTGAACTCATTTGCATAAATCCGGAAAACGTGTAAGTATTGACAAGAGGAGGGGTGTTCTCAGACATTGTGAGTTATTTTCTATACAAAAAGGTCATAGAGGCAGTGATACGATGTAGTTGGAAAAATTGCTCTCATAACGTTCAGCTGGTACACTAATTATTCTCAGTACCATTTAGAGTTTATCAGCCATATTCTCGAATCTGGATGTAATGAGAGTATGCACTTATTGCAGTTCCCAGTTGAATCACTCCTCGGGAATGGTCTTTTTTATCACATTTTATTAACTGGAATATGTCATGCCTTACAAGAACAACCGATGAACTGTCATAAGGCGCTATGTTGCCAAGGCAACCAAGTTTTGCTGACTTCCGAACATGGTGTTCGGGCGCATTCAGTTTTGTTTTTTTCTCTTTTAGGTCACCTGCTTTCATTTTATTATGAAGATATCTAATATATGGAAAACAGTAACCCTCTTTCTAGTGTGCGTATGTGCTAAAAATTCTCATGAAAAGGGAGATTTATCATTATGGATAGACGAGCAGCAGGTGAAAATGTTCAGTGGTATGTATGCAAAATGGCTTAACCAATCACATATTCGTGGTGCGCATGCGGAGATCTTATAGCGTCGGTTTTTGCGGTTAATTTAAAATAACCGAACTGAAACAATTTCTCCGTGTTTTGAAATTTGTGTGTGTCCTCTCTTTAAGAATTAGTGTGAACGTTTTATTTTGGAAAGCACAAATAATATTGGAAGTGCGTCCGAATTTTGAGTTGTAATTTTTTCTTTCGAAAAGTACTTCATTGTTTTTAGCGACTCATATTGGGTATTAATACTAAGGAAGGACACCACAAATCTTAAAATGTGGCAGATATTTTATTCTACAACATTGTGTTGATTGCTTTCATTTATGAATAGTGGATCTCTTTCAGAATTTTTTCTTTTCTTTGTGCAGTATATATTTGTTTTAATATTTAGAAAAAAATGTTCTGATTTAGGTTTTGCAATGGAAATATATGCTATCGTAGATGGTCATGTTTTACCATATATACTAGATCCTAACTTTGAAAAGTACTTACCTATTATACCATCTGAGGTGAGTTATGAGCTTCGTGAGTGTGTTTTATACATTTTAGGTCATTTTCATTTTTATTGAATATGTTGTTTAAAGGTTGGTTATGTAAATTTCACATGGAAGTCAGGAATGAAAAAGTATAATTACAATTTTGATAGACTTTTGTCATTTGATGAAGCTATTTTGGAACCTCCAGTCATTTCCATTAAAACTAAAGGGCGAGTGCCAAGACGTCCCAAAGGTGAGTTTTGTTATTGAATTAATTCATAATCTTCAATTTTACTTCAAAATTTTTTTATTCCTCTTGTATATATAGAGAATGAAGTGATAGAAATATCCTTGTACACCCTTGAGATGTGATGAAGCCATAATAATATTGATTAATCATATTTTTTGGGAATATTCGTTAAAAGTAACTTACTTTTTTTGGATGTTACTGGGTAGAAGACTTTTTTGGATTACACACGATAAAAATGGATGGTAAAATTAAAAAAAGATAAATGAAGTAAGTTATGAAGGGAAGATTTGGACTGCTGCTGTGGAATTTAGTTTTGAAAGTATTCAATTGCCATTGAAAACTTAACACGATTGTGTACTAAGTAACTTGCAGTCAATTTAAGTAAAATTATTAGTTTTTCTTTTTTAAGAATACAATTGTACATTAATGGGAGCATATTCCACCTTCCCAAGAAAAGGAAAAGACATCCATGGTAATATATTTGTGTGTATGGTATCTATTTGTAAAATTAAAATTCTGGTAGCTAATATAAATGATATTATAAGTCCTGGGTAAAGTTGTAAGTCAACTTTTGTAGCAAATTTTAATCTTTGCTGAGTCAAGTATAATTTATGCACTTTAGGGACAATAGGGATAAAAGCAAGCTAACTTGTAAGCTTTAAATATTTAAGAGAGCCCCAGGTAAAATTATCATAAGGTGATGAAGAATAGAGAAATATTTTTTAACACAGGTATATCAGAATATTTATTATATATTTTATTTAATTTAATCATATTTACTTTTCTGGAATGGTGTGGTGTAATGTTAATGAGTGGTGTAATGTTAATGACTTTGTCATTATTATTGAAATAAATATGATGTATTTTTGTGTCTTAAGAATTGATTGCTGCATAAAGCTTTCTCGGTCGCATTGCAGCCATCTTCAGTGCTACAAAAATTACAAAACATTTAATTACTTTTTTTTGAAGTTACAATCACAATTTTTTACTGAAAGTCATAAATAATATTCTATAATGCACGTAAAAAAAAGATTTGCATGTAATTTAAATATTTTGTTATTTTTGTAACACTGAAGTTGTCTTGAATGTGACTGAAAAGGCTTTATGCTGTCATTAATACATATGGCAAAATAATACTTGATATTTATTTTTATAATTTAAATATTACCTTTCTGTAAGTGGGCTAGGTGAGCCTCGAAGAAGGAATTTTTTTGGAAGAAAATCTGCAGTTAGAAGAGGCTGAAGAAAGATTCACAATTTGAGAATGGTCTGCAAATTTAACATCCAGTTTTTGAAATTGACTGGATTAATAAGATAAAATATTTTTGAGTTCATTGTTTACATGTATTTAGCTGTGTTTCTATAATTATTAAATTGTTTTAAAATGAGGAAAGGGGGCTTTTTGGGTTTCGACATTTATCATTTCATAATTACTGTATTGTTATAAATTTGTTTCTAAAATTTAAAAAGTATTATTGTGCTCTTGGAAACTTTTCTTCGTACAATATCTGTAAACCATTTCCTAAGGTGGTCATGAAAGGTCAGACAATTCTTCAGAACATAAAGATAATGTATTTTATAATTTATTATTGCATCATTGAAACAAAATGAATTATCGACTATATTGGTTTCTTATTCATGTATTATCAACTTCTACTGACTTAAAAAGCTCTGGGTATCGGTGAGTTAGAGATACAAAGGCGCGTTAGAGATCTCTAATTTGTTACTAGGTATCAACAACAATGTAAATATCACAGTTACATTATGGTTCAATTGCAAAATATTTTTGTAAAAAGTAATTGTAACATATCCTTCTCTTAATCATGTTATAAATGTTGATTCTGAAAGTCTTTTAGGTTTATTAAAGAAAAGCTGCCTTTTGACTTGAATCTACGATGATGTGACAATTTTCATCTGTCTCATCGAACTTGATTAGCTGATGTAGGTGTTGTGGTAAGATATCTTTGGCATTTTTAAAATAATTAAAGATGTTGTCATTGCCAACTATGTTTTTTAATTCAAAAGCAGCTTTTGATGGCTAAGCCATCGAAAGCTGCTTTTGAATTAAAAAACATTGTTGGCAATGACAACATCTTTAATTATTGATTAGCTGACTCAATGTATTATCAGGACAATTGATATTAATGAAATATTTCCATATTATCAGGACGTGATACTATTCAAACATAAGCAAACGATAGTTGTTAACCTTGTTAATTCTAGTAATTAGTTGGAAAAAAAGCTGGCCTTGTAGCAGAGGGTGTTAGAGCAGGTGCATACAAGTATGCAGACTCTTAGGGCATTGGGTTGGAATCATGCTTGATGTGAGAATGTTCTATATTTTTTTATGAAACGTCTGTAATTCATGTTATATCTTACCTGTTTCATGACCAACTGTGAAACAGACTTATTATTTTAGCAGAATTAATTTATATTAAATAATGTTTGTTTTAGGTCCTACAGTTGGTCATAATATAGTATAAGGATTTTTTCATTTGCGTTAATGTTCTCCCTTGCGTATTACCTCTAAACCTCTCCCAAATCCGTTAAGAAGTGGGTTATGAGTCTTGTGCTGAGGAATCAATGCCCTAATTTGGTCAAAAGGCACGGAGATGGGCCAACTGGGTATGCAACCCGGCAGTCATCCGTGTTTAATCTTGATAAGTTGTGCCCCTGCCGAAACGCATTTTTCCTGATATTGATTTCGTAGTCTGATAGCCTTTCTTATAGTTTCTCGCGTACTACGTACTTCGAGAAAGAAGATAACTAGAAAGTTATGTGGAAGTATTGTAATGCTGCTGTGCAGTGGTGAGGCTTGGCATTTTTTTCGTAGTCATCGCAAGAAGTGCCAAACATGCGGGACAATTTCTAAGAGCTATTGGGCACATGCGTTCGAACAGGGCAGGGGGCGGCCTCCCTAAGAGTTAGAAAGGGGCTCCGTAGCCTTAAGGTAGCTCTGAACCTGAAATTTCTGAAAAAAATCTTGGATGTTCTGTTTCCCACTTTTCACCCAGTATTTTTAGAGACCGGCTTTGTATGCAAATGCCCCCCCCCCTCTACTTGTTATTTGGAAAACGATCACATGTCTTTACAAATCTGCCCGTTCAGGGTATTCATTTCGAATTTAATTTCCTTATCTGTCATGAATCGTTTTCCAGTAAGCGATAGTTTTATGTGTGGGCATCATCGCACCATGAGGTTCCTTCAAGAAACCATGAGCTCCTAAAAATGTAAAAGGTTGTATAACGCCACCACAAAGGAGAAAGCTCTCGTCTCA